TCTTATAATCCATGTCAATTTGTTTTTGTATTTCTTATATCTGTCCTCTGCTTCTTTTGTTTTTAACATCAAAAAGGATGAATACAAATTATTCTTTTTTTTACAGGCATTTCTCAACCCTTTTGTCATCCATGGCTTGTCAACAGCATCTTTCTTAGCAGAATTTGTTTTCATGCAATGTTACTGATTTAATTATATCAGAATGATCCAGGTATCAAAATGTAGCTTTTAAAGTCAAGAATCTGAAAATGTCATTAGGTCCAGAGTTGTAAAGTAACTAAGTACAAATACTTTGTTCCTGAACTTAAGTAGAAATTTTGGTTATCTGTACTTTACTTGATTATTTTTCAACATACTTTTTACTTTTACACAATTATCTGTACTTTCTACTCACTACATTTTTTAAAAAGGTAAGAAGTAGAAAGTCATTACTCCTATTTTATTCTGAGTTATTTTACTTAAAAAAAATACTATCCTGATAGTGTGTCCTGAAAGTGATACTCGAGTAAAAGTACAAGTATATTATCAAAAAATTACTTTGGTAAAAGTTCAAGACTCCTAAGAATATTACTTGAGTAAAAGTCTTAAGGTATCTGATTTATTTTGTACTTAAGTAACTTTCTGATAAAATGTACTTAAGTAATAAAAGAAAGTATTGAGTAAAAATGAGCAGTTAGATACAGTATCTACTTGAGTAGAGTAACAAAGTATTTGTACTTAAGTTACTTTACAACTCTGGGAGAAGTCACCTCCCAATAAATGTCATTTTGGAAAATCTAACTGCTCACTTTTACTTTTAATACTGAAGTAGATTGTGTCAAATTTATTTTGATACTCAAGTACAAAATATATCAGATACTTAAGACTTTTATTCAAGTAATGTTTATAGAGAAGACTTCAACTTTTACCAAAGTATTTTTATGATAAGATACTTGTACTTTTAGTCAAGTATCACTTTGAGGTACTATATACACAACACGGATTAGGTCATTTGACCAAATTTGACTTAATGATCATTTCAATACGAGTCATTATATAAATGAGAATGCGGTCCCACTGAAGTAAAATATTTTATCAATTAATGACATTTTGCCATCGGACTGGTTTCAAAAAAAAAATGTTTCCTTTACAGATTTGCAACAATCCCATTTTGTAATTTGTATGTTTTCAGATTAAACTGCCTGTGGTTTGAACTGTTCAGTTAATGCTAAAATTCTGAGCCTTTACACAAGGTTTTTAGTTTTGTTGATTTTAAACAAATTAAGGTTCAACCTGCAGATCTTAAGATTGAACTCTGTAATTGGACAGTAAAGTTACATGATCTGTTGGGGAAATACTTTAACGGCCAACTACTAGATCATCGAATTTTATTTGTATAGATTCATGTGTATGAAAAGTTACGATATTCTCAAGACTTATGGGTATAATAAATTGGAATGGAACAAGCTCTTATTGTGAAGGGGTGGTGGCTCTTAAAAGAGCCGTTGTGTTGTCAGAACTGTTCCGGTTGGTCTAAGCCCTCTCGCCGCGGATCCTGCGGGCCAGCTGGATGTCTTTGGGCATGATAGTGACCCTCTTGGCGTGGATGGCGCACAGGTTGGTGTCCTCGAACAGGCCCACCAGGTAAGCCTCGCTGGCCTCCTGCAGGGCCATGACGGCCGAGCTCTGGAAGCGCAGGTCGGTCTTGAAGTCCTGGGCGATCTCCCGGACCAGGCGCTGGAAGGGAAGCTTCCTGATCAGCAGCTCCGTGGACTTCTGGTAGCGACGGATCTCCCGCAGAGCCACAGTGCCGGGCCTGTAGCGGTGAGGCTTCTTCACTCCGCCGGTGGCAGGGGCGCTCTTCCGGGCAGCCTTGGTGGCGAGCTGCTTCCTGGGAGCCTTTCCTCCGGTGGACTTACGGGCGGTCTGCTTGGTTCTGGCCATGCTTAGATCAAACTTTTCACTGGAGACGTGAATGTGACTCCGGTCAGAACTGCAGGGTTTTTATAGCCCGCTCTGAAGCTGCTGCTGGACGCTGATTGGTCCAGCTGAACACGTGACGTTACCGCCCAAAAAAAGGGAGAGGTTTAATTCAAACTGACCAATGAGGCTCCTTCATCAGAACCAACTGTTTGTCTGAGCCTTTCTTTTAAAAAGAGGCGCTCATTTTTTGTTTTTTTAAACAGAAACGGCCTTTGTTGTCCTGCAGAGGGGAAATTCAAGTTTAACAGCAGCAGATACTTCAATTCAAAATAATATATTACTAAGAAAATAAAAAATAAAATACTGTACAAGGTAACAACAGAAATAAAATACTGTGCAGCAAAATTATAAAGAAAAACAATCATGATTGACTCATATAGTGTTAAAAATACAGAGTTCTGTTATAATTACATATAAATATTTAAAATTTATAGACAAGCTTTTCTAGACATCAGGATGTTATGATAGGAAATTACA